ATAACCCACATTGTTATCCCTCAACACCCTACTGTTCCTGACCCCCATACACTGCTAGCATCCATCCCAACTGGAAGCAAATTTGATCTATGTAATCTATCACAGTAATTGATCTATGCAGTGCATTCTTTAGCATCCCAGTTGATGAAGTTAGCTAATACCTTTTTGCTTTCACTTGGGAAGGAAAGCAATTTACCTGAACAGTAATGCCTCAGGGATTTACTGACAGCCCTTCTTATTTTTCACAGATTCTGAAGACTAATTTGAAAGACATAGTTTTTCCCAAAGGTTCCACTTTGTTACAATATGTGGATGACTTTTTTGTTCTGCTTCTCAGGTTTCTTCACAGGATGATAGCATCCATTTACTGACACTCTTGGCCTTAAAGGGGGGACATAAGGTCTCTAAAGAGAAACTACCAATTTGCTCAAGCTCCTCAGGTTCGATACTTGGGACATCTGATATCGGAACAAGGTCTGCTCCTGGACTCAGACAGGCTCCACGGCGTCCCTAAGTTTTCTGAAGCCCAGGACTAAGCGCCAATTGCGAGGGTTTCTTAGACTAGTTGGCTACTGCAGGAATTGGATTCCAAATCTTTCTCTTATGGCGAAACCTCTATATGTCCTATTAAAGAATGACAGTCCTGACCCAATTTCATGGGAAGAATGGGGTGATGTGGCCTTTAAGACTTTGAAGGAGAGTTTAATAAACCTACCCTCTCTTGGACATCTTAACAACCAGATTCCCTTCTTCCTTTCTGTGCATGAAAAAGAACATGCCCTTGGGGTGTTTGCTCAAAAACATGGGGATCATTATAAACCCCTAGGATACTATAGCCAACAACTGGACCCAGTGGCTCAGGGATATCCTCCTTGCCTCAGAACCATTGCTGCCACTGCCCTGGTTAAGGCCACAGAAAATATTGTTGTGGGATCCCCTCTAACCATTGTGCCTCATGCAGAAGCTCTCCTGAATTCTCGTCACACCCAGCATCTTTTGGTCAGCCGTCTTACTTCCTATGAAATCCTTCTGTTAACTGCTTCCCATATAAACCTTTCACATTGTAATAACCTTAATCCAGCTACCTTTCTTCCTTCTGAGACTGAGGAAGCTCCTCATGACTGCCTGACACTAACAGATCACCTCCTGACTCCTCTTGACGATTTGCCGAAAACTCCTCTAGGTAAAGCTGATTTCTCACGGTTTACCGACGGTTTGTACTTAAAAGATGAAAATGGTGAGTACTGTGCTGGTTATGCTGTTGTGACTCCTGAAGTCATCTAGGCAGCACCTTTGCCTCTGGCCACTTCAGCACAGCAGGCTGAACTGTGTGCCCTCGCCCAAGCTTGCATTTTAGCAAAGGGTAAAGCTGTCAACATTTATACCAACAGCAGATATGCCTTTGGGGTAGCCCATGACTTTGGAATGTTATGAAAACAACGTGGTTTTCTTACCTCCAATGGAAATCAAATTAAGAATGGTCCATATGTACAGAAATTATTGTATGCCATACTTTTATCTGATGCCTTAGCCATTATTAAAATTCCGGAGCATTCTAAACTTGACTCCCTGGAGGCTAAGGGATATCACCTGGCTGACATTTCTGCTAAAAATGCCACCTTTAAAGGCATCAGCAACAGTCAAGCTTCTGTCATAGTCCAGAGAGGAGCTTCTCAAGTTGATAACTTAGAAAAACTGGCCAGAGAAGCCCAACAATCAGCTCCTGAAGAACAAAAACATTACTGGAAATCCAACAATTGTTGGTTTAATAAGAAGAGGCTCTGGCTCGGACGAAATAACAACCCAGTCCTACCAGAAACTCTAAAATGCCCACTTTTAACCACTGTACATGCATTGAACCATTGGTCAACTGACAAAATGGTAGCTTTCATGCACAAATATTGGTGGGGAAATATTAATAAGGCTGCAAAAAGTGCCTATCTCAGGTGTCCCACCTGTCCAAAGTATAACTCAGGAAAGCCTATTTGCACTGCCCCTGGACATTTTAAATTGCCAGACGGACCATTTGAAGTCTGGCAACTAGACTTTATACAGCTTCCCCCATCTCATGGATACAAGCATGTTTTAGTCATGATATGTATGTTTTCTCTCTGGTATGAAGCTTTCCCTTGCAGACAGGCTAATGCACCAGCAGTGGCTAAAGTGCTGTTAGAAAAGATTATTCCTACTTGGGGAACTCCTCTTGAACGCCACAGCGATCGAGGAACCCATTTTATTGGTCAGGTGCTAAAGCAAGTCTGTGCTGTTTGGCCAATCCTACAACATTTTCACTTTGCTTACCACCCTCAGTCTTCAGGATTGGTTGAACACACTAATGGCATTATTAAGACCTAATTGGCAAAATTTACAGAAACTCTTCAAATGCCTTGGCCAAAGACATTGCCATTAGTTCTTTTGAATCTCAGATCTACTTTTTGGGACTCATAAGCTCTCACCTTTTGAGATAATTACAGGACGCCCTATGCATTTGGAGACATACTTCAGTATTGTAAAGGTTTAGTTCTTTCAACAATAACCATACTTTAGTCAAACAATCGTTTCACCACACACTCCAGGGAAATGAAAAACTAAAAATTCATACATTAAAACCTGGAGGTTTCGTCTATTGGAAAAGACACCTAAAAAAGGATTCCCTCCAGCCGCGCTAGAAGGGCCCTTACCAGGTACTGTTGACAAATCCCTGTGCTGCTAAACTGCAGGGAGTAGACTCTTGGATACACGTGTCACACCTGAAGAAGGCACCAAGCCCTGACTGGAAAAGCACAGTCTGGTGACCTGAAACTAAAGCTGTCAAAATTTTAAGGCAAATGACCCCTATGGAGCCTGAGTTCCTGGTTTATCACCTGTCACACAAGTTAGGTTGCTATGTTCAAATTCTAACTTTTACTTTATCTGTTTAAGCTCTGCTTCTGATGCCGGTCAACAATGGATGCCAGCTGTTTCCCAATCCCTGCACTCTTCCCCATGATGTGCGAGATGACACCTAGAAGAGGCCCTTCTGACACTGAGGGACTAGAGGCTGAACAGACATCAAGGGACGAAAAGACTGGACTCCAAGAACCTGAGACTAAAGACCTGACTGTTGATCAATGATCTTTTAGAAGAAAGATCTTGATCAAGAGAGGGGGATGATATAGTCAACTGGCATCTTAAGATGCTTAACCATAGAGTTGGGAGGATTATGGGTGGGATCGGCCCCTTGTTAACTCTATAATCCTGACTTCCTGTTCATCCTTATGGTAATTCTGGGCATGGGATCAGAATAAAGGGATTAGCCATCTTGAAACTGGGGTCTTTTTTTCTGCCTCTACGTGGGCTGCTGGTAGGAGCTCCGTGTAGGAGGTGTGCTTTCCGCACCGCGGTGGTAGTCTTGGCTTCTTTTTCTTTCCCCGAATAAACCATTTCTTTTGTGGATTACTTGGAGAGTTATTTTTCGCCAGTTCAACAAGGACTTTCTGACACAGACCATTTCCTTGCTTCTGAGACAGCATCCATCTCTGATTCTCCTCCCTAGCTCTTCTCTCTCCTGTAGGTTCACACCCCTGTTCTTGGCCATTAAATGTTAGAACTACTTAAGGTTCTGGCTTGGGTGATCTTACCCACACCTATGGCTCTATTATCACCTATATGCAAATTACTCCCAAATTTATATTTCCAACAAGTCTCTTCTGAGTTCCAAAACCATATTTCAAACTGCTTCCTGGATGTCATGAATGAACTCTACCCCTGCCAAACTCCCCCCCCATCCCCCCACCAAAAAAAAAAAACCTATCCAGTTGAAGAAGCCAGAAACCTAGAAGTTACATTTGAGTCCTCTTTTCACTCTCCGAGTCAATCCATCACCAAGTCCTACTGATTTTACCTCCTATAGATCTCTAGAATCTGTCCAATTCTTTGCAGTTCCAATACCTCAGTGACAAGTCCTCAGTGACAACAATTCTCACCTAAGTGGTCTATCTGCATCTGTCTTGCCTCCATCTGTTCACACTACTGAGCCTGAGGGATCAAGGCCCCTCCCCCACCACACCACCCACTCCCCATCAAAAACAAGCAGAAAAACCCTCAGTGGTTTCCCATCAGTTTTACAGCAAAAGCTACAAAGTCCTGAAAGATCTGACTTGTCTCCAGCTTCATCTTGTACTATACTCCCCTTCATTCTCTTTGTATTGGCCACACTGGCCTCTGTGCTTTTTAGTCATTTTCTTTTCCATTTGTCACAGGGCCTCTGCACATGCTGTTCTATATGGAATATTCTGCCTTCCTCTCTTCACCTCATTAATTAGAATTCTTCCTTCAGGTATCAATTCAGGGATCTTTTCCTCAGAGAAGCCTTCCTGATTATTTCAGGCACTCAACATCAGATCCTCTCCTAGGTCACACTTATTTTTTACATTTCTTAGTGAGATCCTTGTTTAACATGTTTTCCCCACCGGCCTCAAACCGCTGAGGTCAGGGACCATGTCTGGTTCACAATGTATTCTCAATGCTTTGCACAATAAATGTCAGTTGGACGATTAAGGAGATCGCCTAGTCCCTGGGTATGAGTCCAAATTTCTCAACTAGACTGGGCTCTGGAGAGGCAGGAGGAGGGCATTTCCTTCTTCTCTGTCTCTTGCAGGGACACAGAGCAGACCCTAGTAAAAGGCTGCAGAATCAGTGGCAGAAACAAGCCAGCCTCCTCAGTCAGACAGGACCCTAGTGGAGGCTGGGTGACAGGCCTCTTCCCCCTGGGTGCGCCTGGCACAGGGCTGGACAGAGTAGGTGCTTGGTGAAGTCAGCCGTCGAGGGCCTCAGGCAGCCGCAGAGACCCCACAGTTCTCTACTCCAGTCTAGAAAAGGAACCCAGAGGCTACAAACCTGAGCTGGGATCTCTGGGCCTGCCTCTGCCCCTAGCAATCAAACCTGCATTTGAAAAATGCCAGGTTCACACCACAACCCAGACGCCGCAGCTACCCACCTCAGATACCCCTTATGCTTACCCAGCGTCAGCTCCAGCTCTCCCTACCGCAGCGTTGCGCGAAACGCCAAAACCCAGTCAGCGCGCTTCCACCCACAAGACACAGCGCTCCCAGGCGGGACTCCAGCTCCATTCACCAATCCTGGAATCGTACTCCCGTGACATCAGAAAGAACTGACCAATAACAGAAGACCGCCCAGGGGGCGGTGCAGAGGGGAATATTGGAAGCCAATTGGCATCTCCAAGCCGGAAATTCTAAGGGAAAGACTAAGTCGGAACCAATCGTGCGGTGCCTGAGCGTGTCGGCGCGGTCCGCGGCGGCGCTGAGGAGAGCGGCTGCCGCCATGATAGAACAGCAGAAGCGCAAGGGCCCAGAGTTGCCGCTGGTTCCAGTCAAGCGGCAGCGGCATGAGTTGCTGTTGGGAGCAGCGGTGTCAGGCCCCGGAGCGGGTCAGCAGCAGGCGGCGCCGGGAGCTTTGCTGCAAGCGGTGAGTGAAGTAGCAGGCGGCCTTCGGCCCTCAGCTCATCTTCCTCCTTTCTCCTGCATCGGGTGATCCCGCACCGGCCCGTTTCTCCGCACTGCAGGGCGGAACGAGAATCTCTACCTGGAGTTAAAGCAGAAAAACACTGTAAAAGTGGCCGGCACCCTGTAAACGCTCCATACGTTACCCCGTTTTCAGCTTCTCGACCGTCCTGTAAGGTGGCGTTAGAATTAAAGTTAAAGATCTTGAGCTCAAAATCATGACTGGGGTTTTCGCATCCTAAATCTTCCAGGGCTTCTGGATAGAGTAAACAAGCATTCATAAAAGTTTGTAGAGTGGATGGGTGAATGAAAGAAAAAGAATGAATGAATGAATGAATGAATGGGGGAAGGAAGGACATGAATGATACTGGCTCGCTTTGGAACTTTGGGCAAGTTGTTTTTTTCCCCCTTTATTTCTCAACACTGTTTTAACAGCCAAAGAATAGTCAGCATTCATTGAGACCTTGTACTAAGTGCTTTTTTAATGAAAACTCCATTAGTCTTGACCTAAGAGTTTCAGGAACTGTTATCCCATTTTGTAGATGGGAAAACAAATTCTTTATCTAGTAAAAGATTTTAAATCAGAACCCATGCTCTTAACTACTACATTTCTTGTAAGATAGGTGTAGCATCACACCTCTCCTGTGCTATTAGGCTCCGATAAAGAAATCTGTGTCTTCTCTCTCAACTCCTCAAGCAGTGGGTCAGCAAATTCTGCTAGCACCATCCTCAAAATATATCCAGAATTCTACCACTTCTACCACCTCCATCGCTAGCTCCTGATCTAAGCTCTTATTATCTTATCTCACCTGGCATTACAGCAGTAGGGTCCTAACTGGTATTCCAGTTTTCTGCTCTTGTGTGGCCCCTCTAGTCTGAATCCAGCAGCCAGAGGAATCCTTCTAAATGTCAGATTATGTTACCCTCTGCTGAAAACTTTTGGTGGCTTTCCACTTCATTTAGTGTAAAACCAAAATCTTTAAAATCTTAAAAATCACTTGCCCTCTTTGCCTTTACGTTTCTGATATTCCAATTTTCCATTGCTCACCCTTGCTCCAGCCACACTGGCTCCCATGCTCCTGCCTCAAAACCATTGCATTTGCTGCTCCCTCTACTGGAATGCTCTTCTTCCAAATGTCCACATGATTTACACATTCAGCTCCTCCAAATCTTCGCTCAAATATCTCTTTTTTAGTGAGGGCTTTCCTGACTACCCTGTTTTAAATTGCAATACCCCCTACTCACTAACCCACATTGCTGCCTTTTGTTTGTTTTCTCCCCCTCCTTCTCTTCCTGCTTCCCTATTATAGAACACAAACTCTTGTTTATTTTGTTCGGTACTGTTTTCCCAGTGCCTAGAACAGTGCCTGGCACATACTTTATTTTTTATTTTATTTTTTTAATAAAGCGTAAGCTGAAAACTACTGACGATTTGGGGATTTTTGATAATGTACTTGTTAATCTGTCTGACAAGAATATCAGCCCAAGTTTCAGTGTATTGCCCAAGCTTAGGCTTAGTGTTAATACCATAATCAAAAGGGCTTCCTCTAATAAGCTGTACCCTGCAGGATATTGGGAAGCTCAGTTCAATCATTCATTCATTAAATGAGCTAGAACTTGGGAAAAGTGTTGAATGACCCAGGCAGGATCCCTGCATTCACAGAGCTTTCCTAGTGGAGAAAAAGAAAATATGTAAACAAATTCATAAGGAGGGTAATTTCAGGTAATAAGTGTTGTGAGGGTTAGTGGAATTCAGAGGAGAGGTGGGGTGCTGATTGAGTTTGAGTGATCAAGGAAAGACTTTGGAACAGGAATCATTTGAAAGGTGCCAAACACAGGAAGATCTAGGGGAAGGGGATTCCTGTCAGGGGCAACAAGAGTGTAAAGATCCTGAGACAGAAATGAATTTAACATGATTAAGCAATTAAAACTTGGCTATGGGACAGGAGTAAAGTGAGTGAGGGAGGAGGAAAGTTAATGTAACATGCAGACATTGGAAACTTCAGCAGGAGAGTATTATATTGGAGGCATAAGTTATGTGAGAAGAGTTACAGTTCTCTAAATCAGGAGAAATCCACTCCATCATGGTTTCCCTTGCCTTTTCCCTCCACTCCCCACTCCCTAATTTTGCAGCCTCCTGTGCCTTTTTGCAGTGACTACCCTGTATGTCTCTTTTTTGTTTAGGGGCCTCCAAGGTGTTCTTCCCTTCAAGCTCCAATCATGCTGCTTTCAGGACATGAAGGGGAAGTATACTGCTGCAAGTTTCACCCCAGCGGATCCACCTTAGCATCTGCAGGATTTGACCGACTGATATGTAAGGCATAGTTTTTGAATTGGGAGTAATAGCTCTCTGCCAAATAGTGATTCTTTTTTAAAACCTTTGATGCCACAGAAGGTATCGTTCTGAGTTGGTCACATAAACTACATGGCTAACATGCTAAAATAGGGTTGTAAAAATGCTGACGGGTTTTGGTTGTAGAACTCAGGGTCTGTAGTATATACAAAAGGAGTTACGTTATTTTGGGTTGTCAGAAAAGTCATGACGTATTTTTTCTATGTTTTTCGTTGCAAAAATACGTCATGACTTTTCTGGACAACCCAATAGTTGGGAAGTCCTCCTGGAGGCGAATATTGAGCTGATTTAGCAAGATAAGAGATCTAGGCTTAACAGGCTAATAGTAATGAGGAGAGAGATAACTTCCTTTCTCCAAAGGTGAGAGGCTGTCCTCTTGATCCACTCAAAATCTTAGCATATGGAAAGGAAAGAGGAAATCCTCAAGTGGCTTCTCACTTGGATAATCTACCTGTACATCATTAGGATCTGCTGCCAGAGTCTTAGCTACTAGTGAGGAATACCTATTTGTGAGAAATAAGTAGAAAAACCACTTTGGGAGAATAGTGAGAAAGAAGGTAAAAGAAGCGTCTGACTTTTTTTCTTCTGGCATGATATCCACATTTTCTTATGGCTTGTTGTTTATAACTATACCTCAGGGTGGATGATAACTGTCTCTTTTATTTAGGCGTCCTAGTTAAGTGCCACCATTTTTCAGTCTGCTTATATTTGTATGAGACAAGTAATAGTGCCAATCTTTTTTTTTTTTTTTAATTGGGGAATTGGAGGAGAATAGTGTTGGGAAATTGGGGAGGGGTACCAGCCCATTTGTTGTTCTTCAGTCTTACTTGTGGAGGGCGCCAGTTGCCATGTGGCTGCCCGTCAGCAGCTTGTGGCCTCTATGCTCAAGGTGCTGTGTTACAATCCTAGTTGCGGGTGGATGTAGCCACCATCCCATGCGGGAGTCGAACCCGGCAGCCTTGTTAACAGTGCATGCTCTATTCACTGAGCCATCCGGGTGGCACCTCAGCTCAAGGTGCCAAGTTCAGTCTTAGTTGTGGGTGGGTGTAGCCCACCATGAATAGGCAGTCTTATTGTTAGGAGCATGTGCTCTCACCAGCTGAGCCATCCTGCCACCTGTTGGCAGCTCAGCTCAGGTGCAGCATCACTGGCCCATGTGGGAATCGAGCTGGCAGCCCTGTTGCTCAGAGCTCACATTCTTAAGCTAACTCTTAACCAACTGAGCCACTCGGCCGGCCCCCAACTTTTTAAATATTATAGGAAGAAACTTAAGATTTAAAAAAATATATCCATTAACTGTTTTACCGTATGAAATGTGAAAATATTGCATTATTTTTATTACAGTGTCAGGAAAATTGGTCCAGCTGATAGAACCAATGGTATTCTAAGGGAGTCTCATTTTAGAATAAATTCTTTAGATAAATTCTTAAATACCTTTTCTATGGCCAGTAATGAATTTCCTTTTGCCTAGTAATGCTTACAGAACCCCTTTCTCCCTAACAGTGTTGTGGAATGTCTATGGTGACTGTGATAACTATGCAACATTGAAGGGACACAGTGGAGCAGTGATGGAACTGCATTATAACACAGATGGCAGGTAAGTATTCTTCATAGCAGAGTGACAGTAGCTTCTTATAGTAATTCTTGGCATCTTTTCATATTTCATCCTTGAGTTTTCTCTCCCAGGAGACCATGCTGTCAAAAAGTGCTACATTTGGGCAATTACTTTATTCTCTTATCACTGTCACCCCAAGTAAAGGTTTTTAATTGTTTTATGTATGCATTTATAAGTACATCATCTCTATCATCTAACATAACATCCCAAATTTGTTTTCTTTCTTAAGATACAAAACAAAATAATTTTATATGTAGAAATTAGCCATCTTTATTATCAAAGTAAGATTATTTTGAGAAATTCATACAAAACAAAACAATGAAAAAATAGTCCATATTCCTACCACTCCAAAGATAATCACTGTTAATATTATAATACATTTTTCTCAAGCCTTTTTCCTCCTCACAGCTGTTTGGTTTTTACTTATATGTTAGAGCTATGTATATGATCTTGTCTGCTGCTTTTTTCCCTTAATGTTATTCATATATCTGTTTATCATAACATACTGTTTATCATAGACATTTTAATGTTTTGTATAATTTTAGAATAACTAGATAATATAGAAATGTGTTTATATAAAGGTAATTAATCCCATTAGGTATTTCAGTAAACATTCATTGTTTTA